CTCTCCACTTCTCTATTCCCTCCCCCCCCCCCCCCCCCAAGTCCTGCATTGTTGGCAAGGTTGACAATTTCTTCGTGGACTGCTGATATCTCTTCTTCAAAGGTCAAAATGATTTCCTAGTCACCTAGTGGTTTTCTTAGCCATTTTGACATGTTATTGTGTTAATCTCATTCTTTTTGCACAAAATTTCAATTGATAAAGTAAGTCTTTAGTGAGCTTGAAATTTAATATTTTATTTTTAGACCCAAATGCAGCTTAGTTACTATGCTTGATAAATTATAGTGGAATTCTATGTTATCAAAGAGTAACTTGTACATTTTAAAGAACCAAAAAAAAATATAAATCCTTCAAAAAAAAATTCTTTTCACATCCTCTATGTGGGAAATTTCATAAGGCTTAGCAACCCTTGACAAGCAGCAAACAAGTATTATTATTTTCAATGCAGTATTTCTCCACTGCTGGGCAATAGTAGGAGATGAACTAATTTTGAAAATTATCAATTGTCACCCAAGCTTTGCAATTGGAATGCCAAACAATTGGTGGGTGTGGCTTTGACAATCTTTTCTTAGCCCGTGGCATTTCTGAATGGTACACTAGCATTGATTTCATATTGATTGTATATTAATTGCATATTGAGTGTATAATAACTGTTGTTCTGATTAGAATTTAGTTTTTACTAATTATGTTTATGTAAAATAGAGGCTTAATTTTTGTTAGACAATATGGAGCTAAAAATTTGGTTATTATCGTGATCATTCTTTTAGTTTATCCATAACCTTTGTCACTTAAGCTTTTAAGTAATTCTAAGATTATAGTTGTTATAATAATTTTCTTATATCATCAAAAGTTCTGGCTTCAGTCCCAAACTCTACCGAAACTACCACTACTACATCTCAGTCATTAGATATTGGTGGGAGTTCTACTCAACCACATGAACCGTCAAGTCATGAATGCAGTTCATCTACAGGGCCTGCAGTCCTGGGTTCTCGTGGTAGTTCTTATTGTGGTACTCCAACAGCTAACATGCAACAGGCAATATCGGAAGCTTGGGATCTGTGGAATGGAACTCTCTCGCGCAGTAATAACCAAAGTGTTGTGGGCATGTTGCGGTTTGGAGGTGATACAAATAATGCTGGTATGTTGAATGAATTATCACTCCAACATTTGAAATGAATTAATTCATTCACTATGAAATAGAAATTTTCAGTTTTGGATGTTTTTCATGCATTGTAGAAATTCAGTACTTAAACTGTGAAGTTTCTGTATGGTATTTATGTTCAATCATTTATTATGCCTACATTTATTTAAGAGACATTTATATTTTGATGTTTTTTGTAAATACTAATTTATACCTTTCGTAAGCTTCCTTTATTATAACTGGTGCATTTTTTTTTTCCTTCAGTTTATTTTATTTTTTAATTCAATATTAGGTTTTTAGTTAAGCTTATATACTTTACAATCTGCCTTGTCAGAAACATTGACAATAACTACTGTACAGCAGTTTTAAAAAATATTTTAAGTCCGTTTTTAGAACAAGATGCTTCATATTCTGCTTATTATTATTGTATATGTACTTTTAAGCATGCATTTATACTATACCACACAAAGAATAATTGAAATTTATAACTGTAACAATGCAAAATCCACAGTCATAAAATGCCAGTATCTTCATGATTCATTTTTATACGAACATATAAAAGAAAATGGCAACGAAGGTAAAAATTAAATATCGAGAGGTTATAAAGTGAAAAATTATGAATTGTATCTTGTTTGACGAGGTATCTCTAAGTTGAAATTTTCATAGAAGTAGGGATATATATGATGTATAAGATTTAACTATTTGCTAGCTTAACAAACTACGTGATAGGACAAAGTAAAGAAAGAATAAATACTTGTGCCTGAGATCACACTGTGTCACATCTTCCATAGTATTGATATCAACATTTTTATTACCCTTTTTATTTACGGTTCATTATCTGCTTACTGTTTAACTTGTGTAGAATATTATGGAGGCCAAGTTAAATTTTTCTTATTAACACCAATGGCATTTTTTCAACCTTCTATATATTAATTACTTGAACAGTCACCGTCCCACAACTGGCTATAGACACCCTTTTTTTTTCATCCTTAATGGTCTTCTGCTAATGAATAAAGATCAAGTGAAATGCTGCCTATTTACATAGGTAATAAATACATTTGCACACATTTGAATGTTACACAGAATCAAATGACCAAGTATAAATTGTGCATAAAATATTGTTATGCACAGAATCATATGAAATTTAGCACTTGCTTTAAAAAGATATATTACAAACTGTTTAAGCTAATCAAGTAACCAGTATACCTCTAGGTCAGATAGAATGGATTGATTTATAATAATTAATTATTTGAACTTAGTTTTGTATAAATAGGTGCATATGAACAGTACATATTGCAGAATAATTTATTATCATTGGATTGCCAATTACTTGTTTATAATCTTGATTGCTAAACAATTGTTATAAGTACAAAAGTTCTTAAATTTTTAATATTTTTTTAGGAGTAAGTGCTATTAAATATCTGAATAGGTAATGCAAACAAACATGAATAATAAAATACTAAGAACTAAAATAAAATTGTTGGGCAAAATATTAATGTATAAATTAATAAAATCATAAGTTTGAATTGTTTTTAACCAAGTTCCTACATTATGTAATTTAAGTTGATTGCATATGATCCAGAAATTATGCTAATTATTACGTTTGCTTTAATTTTGTAAATCAAAATGTAAAGCATTTTATTTTAATGTAATTAAATGAACGAATATAATGAAGCTTTAGTTTTATTAATTAACTGGGAAGTATTTGTAGATTTAGTATCATTAGTGATTAATAGAAAACTTAAATCAGAATTATCTTTCCTAAATGAACATGGAAAAGAGGAAGTCTGTTGTTAATAAGAACAAAGTATTTCCATTTTCAGAAAAGCCTTGGAAAGAAGGTAGTCAGTAACATAACTAATTTTTAATAATATAATTATCAAGTGTTTTGGTTACTATTGTGTTTAGAACCCTTTAGAGGTTTTCTAATTTCCAGTAACTGTGCTTTCTAATAAATTCTGAAAATCTAGACTATATTTTCAGGATTGAAAGTTTTTAAGATAAACAATTTTAAATGTTTTAAAAAGGATGTGTAAGAGCTTCAGTTTTGACCTGATCATGGTTTTTTTTAAGAATATATTTCTTTTTCTTTTAAAGCTATCAAATCCACTGTAGAACCGCTTTTCTCTGTATATCAAGATCCTACCCAGACTGTTCAAGTTCTTGCATCTTCTGGGCTATCAGAGAAGCAACAATACTCTGTTCACGAAGACCAGTCTGTCCCTCCTGTCAGTAATGTTGTGTCATCTACCAGTAGTAAACCTCCATCTGATGTTTTTTCTGTATATCAAGATCCAATACAGTCTATACCCCCAGAAGTTAATGATGATATTCCTTCAAATACTTGTGAGAAGACATTAGTAACAGCACCACATGGATCATGGCAGTTTCCAGATTATAATGAGATGGACAAAGATAATTTGGAAAATATGTAGGTTTAAACTGAATGGCAAAGAACTGTTTTATGTACTGTTTTAAGTTATAAACTTAATATCGTAGAAGCATGCAGCACGATCAACTATTAAGATCTGTAATGAAAATACAGGAACAGGGGCAGCATCTATTTGTACAGTTTGGTATCTCTGAATTAAGCTATACCATTGACATTTGTTTATGGTCTGTTATCTGGATACTGTGTCAGGGAAATACTCTTTATACATATTTCCTAAGAACTCTGTTACTTTTGGCCACATTGTACATCTTTTCTAACAAGTTTTACCTGTTTTGTTAACTTGTGTTGGATAATTGTTTGTGAACTATTTTCATGCTTTCTCAACAGGCACGCCTTTTTCTGAACAAATCAATCTTAAATTCCCATAACTGTTACACACCATAAGTAAGTTGTGAGTTAAACAAAGCTAATGGATGTTTTGACTTTAAAAAATTTTAAACATGAAAAGCCAAACAAAGTTAATTCACTTGTCTATTTTTGTTTTAATACTCAAAATACTAAAGATCAATTTTCTCACAGTAGATTTTTTTTATACTCTTATGTATAATATTACTCAAATGCACTGTACTGTAGCCTTGAGAATTGTTATGAAAAACATTGAATCTGAAGGGTAATATGTAATTTGTGTTTATTTTTAGTTTATTTTTCCATTCTGTTTTCATAATCAATACTATTTTATATATATTTTAGCCCTCCTCCTGACTATGTTCAAAATAATGCAGAGCGTTCTCTGACAGGCATATTAAAGCCATCTATAAACATTCCTTTTAAGCCACTGGATGAGGAAGTAAGTATTTACCAACAAGTAACTACCGATACACACTCAGTAAACTCTATTTCTCTAACTTGTATGGCTATGTGGATAAGTCTGTGTATAACTATGATAGAACATTTTTAGTTAGTAATTGTAGATTTAGTTGAAAGAATCAATTGCTGGTCTACTGATTATTAACCAGGCCAATCTC